GTACTCTTTCTTATGTTTCTTCTTCTCCATCATTATGCTCACCATTATATATCACTGTTGGTAATGGATCTAAGGTTCGCACTACGGCTGTTGGAAGCCACACCATACCCACCACCCCTCCCCTATCCCTCAAACATATCTTAGTCTCTCCTCACATCACTCACAACCTCATCTCTGTTCGTCAACTTACCCGTGATAATAACTGTACTGTTGAATTTGATGCTCATGGTTTTTCTGTGAAGGATCGTCGGACGGGAACCGTGATGCATCGATCCAATGATATGGGACCTCTCTACCCTGTAGGACGCACTATCACTGCCCAAGCCCATGTCGCCGCTGTCGATCCCCAGATTTGGCATAGGCGCCTTGGTCACCCAAGCCCAGCTGTCCTCCGTGGCGTTCCTTATCTTTCTCATTTTAAAAATTATCAACATACTTTATGTCATGCATGTCAGTTGGGAAAGCATGTGCGCCTCCCTTTTTCATCATCTAGTCGTGTTTCTAGTTTTCCTTTTCAACTTTTACATTCAGACTTATGGCAATCTCCTGTACCCAGTATTACTGGCTTTAAATTTTACATGATCTTATTGGATGATTTTTCGCATTACTTATGGGTGTTTCCTTTACGACACTAAAGCGACGCTTTTAATCATTTAACCACTTTCATAGCATATGTCAAAAATCATTTTAACACAACAATCAAAGCTGTACAATGTGATAATGGAACTGAATTTCGCAACTCTCCCCTTAAAACCATTTTTGACTCCTTAGGCACGTGCAGGCGTAGTCTTTTTTTCGAGCCTTGCACGTGAAACCTTAATTTTTTTAAACTGGGTGGCGCTAAGTTTCGAACCCGTGACCTCTTAGTCAACTTGGCTTTGATACCATGTCAAGGAACCAATTCAACCAAAAGCTCAAGCTTATGGTTGTGGCCCAGGAACAGTTATTTATATTCTAACAGGAATAATAATACGAAGTAATTGTTATAATATTATTATTAATAGCACTCTATATTAATAACAACAACAACAACAATAATATTAATTATTATTATTATTATACTAATAATGCTAATAACTTTAACGAATTTACTTTCAACACTTTTCTAATATGATTTGATCTAAATGAATCAGGTTTGGCTTGAATGAATCTAATTTGAATGCAATTGATCTAATTCAATCTAATTTGAATGGTTCTAATCTAAGTAACAAGAAAGAAAAAATTGAACAAATTAAGAATATTGTAAGAGAAATTTAAAACCTTTGACACCCAAACTTTACCGACATTACAGACTCAAAATAGTGATCCTTACATGTGATGTCTTATAAAAATGGTGTCGAATATGGTAAAACTCTCGATTATGGTTAAGCCTGGTAGAATATGGTATGATATTTAGTTTATAATATATGGATATCGTACTAAATACTTTGGTTCGACATGAGATTTTATATCGTACCGATCTCGATCACGAAATATAATCAGTTCGGTATGGTTCAGGATGGTTCGATATCGTTTATGTACAATTCAGAATAAATACATGCCTATCTAATTTTCACTTCAAAATATAACAAAATCTTCTATTTTTGAAAAATCGAACGTACATTTAAATAAAGAAGCATAAAAAATTGAAAAAAAATGAATAGTTACATGCAAGAATTGCTTACGAAACTTACTTTATATTTCAAAAACTAAAAAGAAACGAATGCTAACAAAATATTTTGAAAATGCTTTTAAATATTTTTAAGTTCATCCACAAAAAAAAATTGGAGTAAAAGTACAATTTACACGTTGCAAAACTTGAACCAAATTTTCAAAATAAACTTATCACTTAAAGAAGAAATATAAAGGGATTATTATATTTTAAAATATATTAACATATATGTTCGGTTCGAGATTTTCGGTAAGAGAAGTTGCCTCGTACCATTCCCAAAATACCGAACCGACTGTTCAATTCGGTCTTTTTGCGGTACTTTTTCGTTTCAATATTTTTCCATTCAATTTTTCAAGAAACTTCATGATCAATTCAGGACTTGCTCATCCCTACTCTTGAAATTAGGAGGAATGGATACATGCAATATAATTTGCACTTCAAAATATAAAAAAATCCTTTATTTTTGAAAAATTAAAAGTACATTTAAATAAAAAACATAAAAATAGGAAAAATGAATAATTACATGCAAAAATTACTTAGGGAACTTATTTTATATTTCACAAACTAAAAAGAAGAAAAGGTAACAAAATATTTTGAAATGCTATTCGTTGGTCCATGCTAGCGATATGCGAACAAACGACAAATGACAAAATTACTTACGAAACTTATTTTAAGATTCATTAGACCAGACAAAAGACGATTGACAAATCTTGACCACTTCTATCTCAATCATAGGCTCATAGCCCTTCTAGTTTTGTTAGACCATGCTAGGAGTACACCAAAATGGTATACCCCATTTTTACACCAGGCAAACATAGACAGTGAGTGTCTGTGATCATAAACACTTAGTGTCTGTGCTTGTTGTACAAATGGGGTACACCATTTTGATGTAGCCCTTATTTTATTGAATTTCGTTAGGTCCGCTTTTCACTATTTTGGAGGGGAATGGGGATTAAATTGAGGGTGCCTGTCCACTCCTTGTCTCCATCCATCTCTATCTGTGGTTTTAGTGTAACCTCAAGTTAGGGATGACAATTCAACCAGAATCTAATCGTAACTGACTTGATTGAACACTAAAATATTCAAACTCGAATCGAGAATTTAAAAATTCAAATCCGATCCGAAAAATCAAACTTCAAAACAATACTAGTTGGGTCGGGTTCGGGTTCAAGATTTTCACCGACTCCAACCGATCTGAACCCAAACATTTAAAACTAAAAATTCTATCTATGTCTATAGAGAGTATTGCCTAATGTGAATAATATAACATATTATCCCATTTCTTCACATCTTGCTCTTTTTCACACTCAACCGCAAATATCTCTTGTTCACATCTTGCTACTCCATTTTCGATCACTTTTTTACCTCGCATCTTCGGCCGCCGATCTTGTTAATCATGTCCTTTTGTATTTATTTTTTCCATTACAAAATGTCGTGTATTATTTTAGTGTATATACTCCCTCCGTCCCAAAAAGTCTTTCCTATTTCATTTTTTGCGTATCCCATAAAACACTTCTACCGACATTTAAAATGCCTAAAATTTACAACATTTCTTCTTTATTGTGGGTAGAAGTTATTTTGAAAGTTTTTTTGTCATTCAAGACGGGATATAAGTGTTTTATGGGATGCGCAAAAAATGAAACAGGAAAGACTTTTTGGGACGGAGGAAGTATGTTCTTTATGTGTTTGCATTTGGGCTCCTCGTTTGTATCACCACCGGGCTCCTCGTTTGTATCATCATGCAGGGGCGGAGGGAGGGGGGGCTGCCGGGGCACGTGCCCCCCCGGCGAAGATCCAGCATAGAGGCATGACCGGCGATATCAGTCAAAGGCGGCCGCGGTGCCCCCCCTACGATGGAGCCGGCTTTCCCAGTGTCGTCTGAGTTTATTTCTGATCGTCTTTGAAATGCTCCGTAGTTGATTTTTTTAAGACAAAAACAAAACGGTGTCGTCTTAATAAAGAATACTCGTGACACTGTTCTCCGTATTAACAATAAAAACACCTAGCATTTTTTACTGCCCTAGGTGCTAGGTTGTTCTCCATACTAAACAAAACGTGGTCGTTTTAGAAAACACAGTGCGGCACTGCGGCGTGCACCCTTTACTGCCCAGGCTCTCTTTTTAAAAACAAAAACACCTTTCAATCCAAATGTCCCATTGAGGGTAAAGTTATTACTCCGTATATTCTAGTTGGGTTATTTTTTATTTGGAGTTATTATTTTCTATTTTTGTTGATTATCACGTAATACTCGATCTCATTCTCCATCTAGGTTATTCATAGTTCTATTTATTCTCTCCGTGTCTAAAAAAATATTTTCTTTTATTTTTTGCGCATTTCAAAATACATTTCTATACACATCTATAATGTCTGAAATTTACCACATTTCTCTTTTATTATAGAAATGAGTTGTTTTGGAAGTATTTTAGATATTTTAAATGGTGTAAAAACGTTTTATGAGATATGCAAAAACTGAAACAAGCTAGAACTATTTTTAGAGACGGAAGGAATATAAGGTTAAATTTTTTTTTCTTTACTTATTTATATTGAAAATTTAATACCGAGTAACATAAAATAGTCTCGTCACATTTTGTTTTGTACTAGAATTCACTTGAAATAGTTTTTAAGTACTCGGTATGCAATTTTTTAAACACCAATGTTAATATAAATTGAATTTACAATAACTTTAATTAAAGATCGTAATTCAAAATAGGAAGAACTTAAGAAGGAGTGAGAGAGTATGACTTATTAAATTTTCACTTAGGAGTACTTTATTTTGTGTTAAATGCGAGTAGCACCTATTATTAATTTATTGTTATATTTTGAATTATTTGAAAGAATTTATTGTGTTTCTTTGTAATTGTATATTGCTCGGTATTTTATTTAAAAAATTCGTGACAACACCTTTGACCCCTCTCATAACGTGCCCCCGCTCACTAGCTTCTAGCTTCTGGCTCCGCCACTGTCATCATGTACATATTTATATAGGCCTTTGTTTCAGTTCCAAAATTGTACGAGCAATTGCACGTCCCGCCACCATAGTTCGACGGTGAGGCCTGTCCGGAAACCCCCGCTCGTCACTGCTGTTCTTCTGTCTGCTAGTCCGTCGATCAACAGCCATTCGTGAGATCGGCCGTCCGTTCTTCGTCAGCTGCTGGTTTTTGTTCGTTCTGTATCTGTCCGGCCAACCGTCAAGGCACCGGTGGTTCTTCTTCCGGAGAGCTCGTCCAGACGTTTGAGTCTCTGTTCATCCAGCATATTTGTCCCGTCCAAAGCTCGGCGCCGTTGGTTAAAACGAAGGGTTTCTACAATATGCCAATCACGACTATGTTTCTACCGTCCGTGTTGTCTTTATCAGACTCAACTAATTATTCAATTGTAGCCATTGAAGTTTTTCCATTTATTTGTGGTGTTGGTTGAAGTATTTTACCATCAAATAATTGCAAATTGTGAACAATTTGTAATTGTTAGCAAATTGAAAACTGCAAGGTGCATAAAGCATCTGCCCTTAATTCCAAAGTTCCCTTGCTTTGATCTTGGGTCTGTTGCAGTAGCCCAACACATAACTCTAGTACCAACCATGGCAGCCGTCGGTAATCTCAATGTCGCTCAAATAACTCGTTTGTTGTCCCTTGTGGAGTCGTCTTCCGCAAATCAATGTAATGGCGTGTCTTTGATTGATAGTGGTGCCTCACATCATACCTGTCTCATTTATTTCAGATGTAACTTCTCAGTCTATTTTTGTCTCCCTGACGGTTCTCCATAATGTTTTATATGTCCCAAACTTGTACTCTCATTTGGTTTCTGTTGGTTGTTTGGTTCAAGAAACTACTTGTCATGTTCTTTTTAATGATCAATATTGTGTAATACAGGATCATTTGTCGAGGACGGAGATTGGACGGGGTGAACTACGAAACAGAGTATACATCTTTTTTCCTCATACCTAGCGTCAGCCCTTGTTGTCAAGTCAGATCCATTCGTTCTACACCAAAGATTGGGTCACCCTTCCTCTAATGTTTTTCCCTTTCTTGGTTATAATAAAACAGGTTCCGTTATCAAGAAATTACAAGCATGTGAAATTTGTTTTCTGTCCAAGCAAACTCGTTCATCGTTTCCCATGAGTCATAATAAAGCTCACTCCATTTTTGATTTAATTTATTGTGATTTATGAGGACCTTATTCTGCTTGTGTATCATCTGGGGCACATTATTTTCTTACTATTGTCGATGATTTTTCTCGAGCTGTCTGGGTGTATCTCATAAAACACAAAAGTGAGGTCACATCTTGTCTCAAACGCTTCTTTGCTATGATAAACACCCAATATTCCAAAATTATAAAAGTGGTGCGCTCTGACAATGGTACCGAGTTCCTTAATGCCTCTTTGCGTCAATATTATGATGATTTGGGTGTTTGTATTCAAACCTCTTGTGTAGGTACACCACAACAAAATGGTCGAGTCGAATGAAAGCATCGTCATATATTAAATGTCGCTCGATCTCTTATGTTTCAAGCATCACTTCCTGTTGAATTCTGGGCGGAGTGTGTCAAAACTGCAGTCTACCACAAGATTTAAGTGATCTCCGTGTCTTTGGTTGTTTGTGCTTTGTTCGTCGTATGCCAAAACTCTCAAATAAATTTTCTCCCCAAAGTGTGAAATGTATGTTTGTTGGTTATCCTTACGGTACCAAAGGATGGCGAGTATACAATCTTGAGGCTTATCAGTTTTTTCACACTTGGGATATCACATTTGATGAAACCCAATTCCCCTTTACACAACCTACACGGTCCCCGTCACCTCTACCCATCTTGAAGCCATCGACAGAGGATTTCCCGGCCACTATCAACCTGTCCCAGCCGTCGACAGTTGTTCCTCCCGTCACGTCTCAGCCCACCACCACCACCTCACATCCGCAACATACATCTTCCACCGACTCTTCTATATGGTCGTCTCATTCAGCGTCTTCGTCCTCTAATAACGAGGACAGTCCCGTCACCTCTCCATTACCGTCACCTCCTCTGATCCTCTTCCACCACGTACTCGGCGTCCTCCCTCCCATCTCAGTGACTATGTTCTTCATTCCGCCAAAGTCGACACTCCGATTCCCTCTTCATCTGGTTCGTCTTTGTCAGGTACACGGTTTCTCATTACTCACTTTGTTCATTATAACAAATTTCATGACAGGTACAAAAGTTTCTTGGGTGCAATTGATGCTTCTTCCGTTCCTAAAACTTTCAAAGAGGCTGTTCAATATGCTTCGTGGCTTGAGGCTATGGCTCAAGAGTTTTTGGCTCTAGAGCGTAATCATACTTGGGATATTACTGACCTCCCTCCTAACCGGCGTGCCCTGGGTTGTCAATGGATGTACATGACCAAATACAAATCTGATGGTACCAAGGAACGAGATAAAGCTCGGTTGGTTGTACTGGGGAATCACCAGGAGTTTGGGAATGATTTTACAGGTACTTTTCCTCTCGTGGCCAAATTAGCAATTGTTCGTGTGTTATTGTCTGTTGTAGTGTCTAGGGGTTGGCAGGTAGATCAGTTGGACGTCAACAATGCCTTTTTACATGGGGATCTTCATGATGAGATATATATGAAGATTCCTCCAGGATATGAGCAGCTATTTCCTGGGAAGGTTTTCCGTTTGCGCAAATCATTATACGGGCTTCGTTAGTCTCCCCGTAATTGGTTCACTAAACTTTGTATAGCCTTACACCGTTATGGTTTTCGTCAGGCTCATGCAGACCATACTCTTTTTGTGTTGTGTCGTGGGCCGGATATGTTGGTGGTTTTGGTCTATGTGGATGACATTCTTGTTGCTGGTAATAATCCTTCTCTGTGTTCGTCATTCAAGAAATATTTAGATGAATGTTTTCATCTCAAAGATCTTGGACACGTTTCCTATTTTTTGGGCATCTAGTGTGCTCGATCCCGGGAAGGCATGGTCCTTAATCAGCGTAAGTATGCTCTTGATATTATCCAGGAGGCAAATTTATTAGGTTGTAAGCCCGTTGACACCCCGTTACCTAGTAATCACAATCTCGCACGGTCTACTAGTGCCGAGATACGTGATCCGACGAAGTATCGTCGTCTTGTGGGTCGTCTGTTATATTTGACTATTACTCGTCCAGATATATGTCATGCCGTGCATGTCTTGTCTCAGTTCATGCAGGCTCCATGTTAGGATCATTGGTTCGCTGCCCTGCGTGTAGTTCGCTACCTCAAAGGCCATTCTGGACAGGGTATTTTGTTACGCAGTGATAGTAACCTTGCTCTGACTGCTTTTTCAGATTCAGATTGGGTGAGTTGTCCTTTGACGCGTCGTTCTGTTACTGGTTATTTTATCTTACTTGGAGGGTCACCCGTTTCTTGGAGAAGTAAGAAGCAGAATACAATCTCTCGATCTTCTGCTGAAGCCGAGTACCAGGCTATGACAAACGCCTGTAATGAGATTCGTTGGCTACGGGGTCTCCTCGCCGCCCTATATGTCCCGTGTGTTGTCACTCCTAAATTATATTGTGATAATAAATCTGCTTTGTTTATTGCTGCGAATCCCGTGTTTCATGAGCGTTCGAAGCACATTGATATGGAATGTATTCAGCGCAATCACATCGCCACCGCTTATGTTCCCACACGATTCCAAACAGCAGATATTTTCACTAAAGCTCTTCCTAGACCATTATTCCATTCTTTGTTATCCAAGTTGAGTGTTTTTGATATTCATGCTCCAACTTGAGGGAGAGTATTAGCGTATTAGTGTATATATGGTCTTTATGTATTTGCATTTGGGCTCCTCGTTTGTATCACCACGGGGCTCCTCGTTTGTATCACCATTTACATTTATATAGGCCTTTGTATCAGTGAATCAATCAAAGTTTCAGTTCCAAAATTCTACATGTATAATACAATATATTTTCCAATTATTGTATATGCAAATATAGTAATTTAATGTGTCAAAATTTTGGTCGGATCCGAGTCAGATGTTTAGTTAAAAGCTTGGTTTAAAATTGGATATTGATTAAATTGCGGGTTGGGTTTGGGTTTGGATTTCGAGTTTAAAAGTCCCGTTCGAGTCGAGTTCCCAGCTTGAAAATCGAATTCCGGTTTGGGTTCCTGTATCCACATATCTTACTATCAGACCAGAACCAGACCCATTGAGACTGCTACGGCCCCAGCCTTGGTATCGCTCTCGCTAGCATCTTCTCCCCGGTAAAATATAGTACTCCACTCTCTAATTGGTTCTCCATGATTCATCCATATTCTGATTATCTCTCCGTACTTCTTATCAACTTTTGATTTTATTCGATCAAATTGTTCACAGCTTTTCGGAAATGGAAACCCGGAACAATTGCAGCCGGCAACCGGAGGTGCTATGGGCTCAGCGTTACGGCAAGGTCTACTTGACTATCTCTTTGCCGGATGCCAAAAACGTCTCCGTCGAGCCTGATTCTGCGGGAGTTTTCGCATTCTCAGCCATGGGCGCACTAGGCGAACCCTTCTCCTTCACTCTCCAACTCTTTGACTGTATTGTCCCTAAGGTAATTGTTTGATTTTCTTCAACCTAAAATATGGAGTTATATTCTTATAAATCTGTCGTATATGCTGACTGCTGAGCTATTATTCTGATTTCTGATCTCTTTTGGCTGTGTGATCTTGATTGATTTACTGCACATTTGGGGGGTGTGTTCTTGTTTCGTGCTAATTTCCCACGTGAACTAAGGCAGTGTTTGTTCCATTTCTGTCCGTGCCCTAATGTGATTTTCAACCAGGATTCCTTCCCTTCAAGTATTCAAAATGTTGGGACTATTTATTCTCCCTTTCATTATCCATCTGTACTGATGCCTCTTCCAGGATTGCAAGACGAAATTTGGTTTGAGGAACATTCTATGCTCAATTCAGAAGGAGCAGAAGTCTTGGTGGCCAAGGTTATTGAAGTCTGATCAAAAGCCTCCCCCTTATATTAAGGTTGATTGGAACAAGTGGTGTGACGAAGATGATGAAGAGTCTTGTAAGTTTTGATCCCATGGTTTTTACTTTAAAGAAATCTTTTAAGATTACTGGGCACTTTTCATGTTTACATCTCTTACACTGCTCTTCAAGTTTGTTAAAGTTGAGTGTGACAAACAATTTTGTTTTAGTATTTTGATTGGTTATTAATGGCACAAGGGATTTTACTTTACGCTGCCAACCGTTCTTGGAAAACGCACAATCTGGTCCCTATGTAGTTTATTAGAACGAATGTCATATAGAGGGAATTAGTTGCTTCTTAGAGTTCCATACTCTTCTATGCTTTGAAGTCCCATTTGTTTTCGTTTGGATGGAATTGAAGCAAGGACTAAAAACCCCGGTTCGTGCTCAGACTGCAGAAGTTAAGCGTTAAGATGAAATTTATTAGCATTTTCATGAGTGATTTTTCTTATGTCATGGGTATAGATGTTATCAAGTTTTGGGAATGGAGTCTGCAGAGCATAAATTAAGAAGGCTTAAGAAGGCTGTTGTACACTGGAATCCAATGCTAATTTTGGGTGGAGATATGCATGTACAAACATACAATTGTATTATGTATAGTCCCTCATGTTGAAATAGGAGGTGTAACATGTATTACAAATTATCTTCTAATCTTCTTGCTCTTGCATTATGTTGCTGCTCGGGATTTATCGCTTGACCTCTCTTGGGGACTCATAATGCATTTCAGACCTAAATCATAGCTGATGCATTTGATTAATCGGTGGACCGGTCTATTGAACCGGTAAGACATTGCTGAGAGCTCCCCACGTGATTGTAGAGAGTCACTAGGCTCCGTTCCGTTCAACTTATTTTTTCTGATCTGATCTGATTTTGATAAGTTTTGATCTAATCTGATTGGATCTGATTTGATTGAATCTGATCTGATTGGATCTGATCTGATTAATTATGATTTTATTTAAAATTCAAATCAATAATTGGATTTGACTTTATAATAACGTTTGAAAATTGTAATGATAATTCATATTATAATATAATCAATATTTTTTATTTTACGATTATTTTTTAATAAAATAAAATTAGTTAATTC